AAAAAAAAAAAGGTTAGAAAAAGATTATACCTACCATGCTTTGAACTTCTTTTGAAAATAATTTAATTAATGAATTTTAAAAATTTTCCCAGCACACGTAAGATCTCATGGCACACCAGAGGGCATACCGGTTGAAAATCACTGCTCTAGTGAGAGAAAAGCAGGCCTGAGGGAGAGGCAGAGAGACTGAGTCCTGGGAGAGCCAGAGAGAGAGAGGGAGAGAGCAAGAGCTTGTTTCACCCTCTTGTTGGTAACATACCTCTAAATCCTTATGACACAATCCCCCTCTTCCCTTTGCTATTAAATACTTTGAGGGGTTCCTCTAACTTCCCATCATCAAACTTTGACAAAGACACATGTGACGACCTCCCACCTCTCATTCTAGAATCACTTTCCTCAGTGCCAGGTGCCGCCTGAGAAACACGACCCATCAGAGCTGCCAGCTATTACCTTCAGATTGTGTAGGGGACTTTAATCTACTTGGGGAATAAAATTTGAAATTGTCTGCCCTGTAGCCATCTTCTGATCAAATTGGGTGACAAGAGACACTACCCTGAGACATCCATCTGGTCTTCCAAGTGGCTGTTTTCTGCTCCAAAGCAATTTGATGCAGGGAGTTTCTTCTGCAAACGTGAAAAAATTCTGGGAGATGGTAGCCTTCCCTTCCTTGCTCCAACACCCATTTTATAAGGGCCTATACATCTAGAGAAAAGAGGTGCTTTTTCTCCTTTTAAAAATAACAAAATAGGCTTGGTGCCTGTAGCTCAGTGGTTAGGGCAGCAGCCACCTGCACCAGGGCTGGTGAGCTTGAACCCGGCCCAGACCTGCTAAACAACAATGATGACAACAACAATATAGTTCCCTGGGCGGAATGCATGTGGTTTCAGGCTTCTGAGGACCCTCACCCTCCTCCCACACCTCACTTGCACCCTCTGGTCCAGGCTTCCTCTGTTCTCCCCAGCAAATGTTTATTCCTGCCTTGGGCCTTTGCCCAGATAGAGTTGCTTGCCCTGAACCTTCTTCCCTCTCCTCTGCCAATCTCTGCCTCCTGGTCCCTTGAGTGCCAGCCAAGCTGCCCTCTTGCACGTGGCCATCCTCTACCTCCCAGGCTTGAGCCACGCTGCCTTTTCCCTCCCCTGAATGCCCACAGCCTTCATTGTCACAATCACTCCTCTGTGCACCTGGCACAATGATCTGGCAGCTTCCTGAAGCTACAGGCCATCTTCCTGTTGGAACTCCTTCAGTAGGCAGGCTGCCGCTGAGCTTCAAACACGGAGTGATGGAGCAGGATGTCTTGGCACGGCTGGCTCAGCCTTCCCTGAGCCAGGGCTGCCCTGGTCCCTTTCTAGTCCCGTCTCTCTTAACCCTCCCCAGACTCAGTCACATGCCTAGTTCATCTTTGTCTCAAGCCTCCATTCCTCAACTCCAATATAGGACCTTGCATGTTGTCAATACTAAATGTACTGTCAGTCTTGAAACCACAAAGACTCGCTTGAATCAAAGACTGTTCTTTTCAAGGGTAGAAAGACAGAAAGAACCACCTTTTGGGATCCTGTCAAGGCTCAGCTTGGCCTCAGTTTAACTTCCACTACCCGAGGAAGGCTTCAAGACTGATGGAGTTGAGACCAAAGCCACACAGAGCACAGCCCATGCTGCTGCCAGAGCAGCCCAGGGGCACAGGCTCTCAGAATATGCTCTTTGGTAACGAGCAGAGCGAGTGTATAATTTATCACTCAAACCAGGTCATTTGGGGAGTAAATTGGTAATTATGCTGTAATTATTACAGATAAGCAAACAGAATGGTCACCCTGGGCAATGGATCATGTTCTGTGGTCAACACCCTCCATCGATCACGTTCTGTGGTCAACACCCTCCCCAACACAAGTAATAGACAAAATATAGTTTTCTAAACATAAGAACTTCTAAAACTCAAAGTAGCTTGGTGCCAAGATTGCTTTATTTTAAAAACCGATTGTGTTGTTGAAGAAAAGGCTGTGTTCTCGGCCCATTTTGGCGATGGTTGGAGACTGCTTTGGGAACTGCACTGAAGCTGTGTAGGCTCCTGGGCCAGGGGTTTTCTGAAAACAGAGAAGAAAACAGGACTAAAACAGGACTGATGAGGCAGTGAAACCAAACCCCTGAACTTCCTGTGCCTGGCTGCTGGCTTCCATGTGGTGGATGAATCCCCCATGGAGGGAAAAAAGGGCCATGCCCGCCTGGGTGAAGTCCTAGAGGCCCCTTGAATTGGAGCGTGTCCTCAGAGCTGGGGCTGCTCCTGTCGTGGGGCTAACTGTGAGGCTTGGGGGTGGCCTCTGGGAGAAGGCCAACCCAAACTAGGAGTCACATCCCACCTGTACCTAAGGACACACTTTCTCCCACAGGATGACCCACCTAGGCAGTTCCAGTCCCAAGGAATGCCATCGTCCTTCCCCTTAGTGACCTCATCCTAGACTAGGTGAGTGAAAAGGACAGATTCTGAACCCAGATGGTCCAACACAAAAGCCCAAACTGTTTCTCCAACTTGGGTTGTGTTCTAATCACTGAACCAGAATAACAAAGTACACCCCAGACTGAGACACAACTGGGGTCTACGGACCCCAGGGTTGGAAGTATTGTTAAGGGATCCAAAAGTTCTCATTTTAAGAAGTCATGGTTTCATTTTGATGAAATTCCTGAAAAATAATTCTGCCAATTATTCAAACCAAGCTTCTCTTCTGTAGTGACAAAATGTAAACAAACGCCATTTTCATGTAATAGAGTGGGACTGACGTTTCTTGGGTCAGTGTTTCCCATGCTCAGTGCACATGCACATAATCTTGAAATCCAGAGGAATTTTATTTTAGGTCTATTGGAGAGATACCAGAGTAGTGGGTAAGGACAAGGGTTTTAGAGTCCCAACAGGCCTGAGTTCAAGTCCTAGTCCCACCACCAACGGCTCAGTGTGACCCTGGGGCGTGGGCTCCCCACACGTCGCCCATCACATGGGGCAGGCGCCTGCCTGTGGGAGGCTGTGCGGCTCCCTGGTGAATCTCTAGGACACAAGCACCAGCCAGGCCGGCAGCAAGCACTCCACATGCGGGCCATTGCCACTGTTCTTATTTGTCATTATCACCTCCTTGTCATTTCCAGGCTTCCTTGCAGTTTGTTATCTCTTCAGGAGACAGTGAGAGTGGAAACAGGATTATCCTGAGAGTGAAACAGAGTGGTCAGTGGATGAGATCAGTTGTCTGCAGAAGCCGCTTTAAATGACAGGATGTTTCCCTTGCCAAAAGCAGAGCAGCAGCCTGGAAATCTAATCAAGTCCTGGCCAAACGTCAGAGGAAGCTGAAGCCTTTATTAGTGAGGATTCAACATGCACGTGGAGTCCTGGAAGGCCAGACTGCAGACGGAAGTTTCAGGGGCCCTCCACCCCACAAGGCCACCTCTGGGGAGGCTGATGATTGTGGTTCAGCCACCTTGACAGCATCCAGCGGGGGTTCCCAGCCCAGATCTCACTGTCATGAGCTGACCTTCTGGTCATCCTTGGCGTCCGTGAGAATTTCCTATAAGAGAAAGACTTCACAGAGTGGTGGCCCCAGTCACCAGAGCCCATGGTAGATGTTTATAAATTACACTACAGCTTCTGGCTTCATGCTCAGTTTCCTGAGAGTTTGGCTAGTATGACTCAGTCCTCCATAGAACGTTCAGTCCTTGAGCTCTGACAAACATTTGTTTCTAGATTGTGGTGATGCCACTAAGGTGTGAGGATGCCCCAGCCTGCTGTTGTTGGTCTGTCTGCCATTTTACTGGCAAGGCCTCCCCAGCATTCCTCCAGGTAAAGGCTGCACTATCCCAACACGATAGCCCTGCAGCTCTGGAGCAGAGACACACAGGCCAGATGGAGCTAGAAGATGTGATCTGCAGCCCAGGCAGTGGCAGTCCTAGCTCTCTCCCACCACCCACCCCCAAGCTGGGAGGAAATCTCACAGGAAAGAAATGTACAGAATCTGTATAGATGTACAGAATTTGTATTTCTGTCAGGCAGGCAGGAAGCAACAAGGCCATGGCAGTTAACACTGTCTTTGGCATATAAAAAAGAAAGAGCCACTGCTGGTAAGCTCTATGTTGGGCTTTTGTAATCCTTCTTGGCCTTCTCTAGGCTTGTGGGGAGCTCTGTTCACTCCTAGAATCCACATCCTTTGTATTTCTCCGTGGACTTGAGCTCCTTTTCTGTCTGTCCTGAGTCCTTTGGGGGCAGGGGTGTTGCTTATGCTTTAATGATCCCATTTGGCTTCAACTCTTTGCTTCCTTGGGCTCCCAGACGCCACACCTGCAGAGAATGGCAGTTCTCACTGGCTGGACACAGCCACTGTACACAGGTCACTCTGAAAGTCTTGAGACAGACCCTGTTATGGCCCACTATTTAACTTCTAAGACAATCAACCTCGTCCTTTCAATCTGCTTGGTTTGTCAGGGCTGCCGGGAGGGCATCATTTGTTTCTGTCCATGTGGATTTTACATTTCTGGGGTTTTGTGTATCTCAAAACTTTTGTACTGATCCACGTTCACTGCTTGCTTCAATTCAGTAGAGGTGTTCTCGTGCTAAGCATGCAGGTCATGACAATGATGGCTATCCATAATTCAGCCATGGTCTTCTGGTCTGTAGTCACGCTGAGCCTGAGGCTGGCGGAGAGTGTCCAAGAGATTGAACCCTTCACTCCTTGCTGCCCTGATGGGCAAGCAATCTCCCATCCCACACAACAATCATTCTCCCATCCCACCTCCAACTCCCCCCAGCACACACGGAGTCAGAAAACCCCCCACCATCACCACAGCTGTGAGGGTGGGGAGCTCTTTCTTTCAGAATACTTACTGAACGGCTGGGCATGAATCGAGGTACTTTGGACTGAAAACAAGAAGTAACAGAATTTGCTGAGGGTGCTTTCAAGTCATAATGACCTGGTCCGGGGCCTTCACGCTATGGAACATTAAAAAATGTTTCAATGTTACTATACTAATTTTATTATATTTTAATACTTTATTTATTCCCATAAACATGTGAATCAGTGTGATGTGGTAGAAAAATCCCTAAATTGGGGTTTGAATTACTATGAACTGGGACACATCATTATGAAATGGAAATAATATCTGCCTCACCTGCCTTATGCATGACTGTGAGGCGTGAAGGAGAGAAGGTGATGTGTGCACGTCTCCTTTGTCCCTGCCAGGGTCACCGACACCCACTCTCAGGCCCCTGCTCTCTCCCATCGGCATGCCGCATGCCACACTTGCTCCCCTGGCTGTTAAGCAGCAGATGTGACTTGCCGCTTTGAGCTGTCAGCTTTATAAAACACGCTTATTCTTTCACGTAAGTGTAGTATATGTTATCCCAGTCCAAAAAAGTATTCACAGAAATTAACTGATGCAAGTGCAAGGCTATGAGATTAACGTAAATGGATGAACACACTTTAAAAAAGACAAGCACCTCTGGGCAGCACCTGTGGCTCAAAAGGGTAGGGCGCCAACCCCACATGCCAGAGGTAGCAGGTTCAAATCCAGCCCCAGCCAAAAAAAAAGACAAGCACCCCAATAGGAAAATTAGCAAAAGGTTGTTGATAGGGCAGTGCCTGTGGCTCAAGGGGTCAGGCGCTGGCCCCATATACCGGAGGTGGCAGGTTCAAACTGGGCCCCACCCAAAAACAGCAAAAAAAAACCAAAGCCCTTGTGTGTGTGAGTGTAAAATATGCACTGCATTATGTGTAAAATAAATAAAACACATTTTAAAACATTTTTTAAAATATCTTTGATAAAGAGGAAAGACAAATGTCCAAGAGGCAGGATACTCAGGCCTGTAAGCCTGCCACTCTGGGAGGCGGGGGCAAGAGGATTGTTTGAGGACATGAGTTTGAGAGTTTGAGACCAGCCTGAGCAAGAGAAAGACCCTGTCTGTACATAGAAAGCAGAAAAATCAGCCAGGCGCCATGGTGGGCACCTACCTATAATCCCAGCTACCCTAGGCTTGAGCCCAGGAGTTTGCGGCTGCAGTGAGCTATGAAGGCTCCATTGCACTCTATCCTGGGCAATAATACAGCAAGACCCTGTCTCAAAAAAAAAAAAAAAGTTCAACGAGCAAATAAGTTCTCTTTAAAACAGTAAGATTCTTGTGTGTGTGGTGGTGCTTCTAGAAAATTAACAAAAAAAAATTTAAGAAATAAAGAAAGGGAACAGACAAGGAAGGAAGGAACTGAGGAAGGGAGAGAAGGGAGGAGGCCACAGTTTTAATAAGCAGCATGGGTGGCCTATATGATACTGACTAAAGTAGAAATTTGGTTATTCTTTCCAGCAAGACATGAAATGGCTTGAAAACATATGTACCTATCCAGAGGGAGCAGAAGAAGAAAGGAGCCTGGTTATTGGTTGTTGTAGGAATCCCAGACCCAAAGGATGAGTCCTGAGCCTAGACTCGACGAGGAAAATGGAAACAGCCCAACACCACACTGGGTCATGCTGACATGATGCCAACTTTGCTTTTTTTCCCTAGTAATTTACTTTTTCCTCTTTTCCACTTTCAAATAGCTGATGCTCACAGACTCAGGAATAGGACAAGAAAAACAAACAGAAATAAGTTTTTTTCTAGCATGATGCCCCGGATCTGTTTCTAAATAATGCAGGAACTGGAGGAAGTGGGTTGGAGTGTAGACAAAAACAGTGGCCTAGAGTTGAACATTGTCGAATAGGTACATGAGAGTTCAACCTACTATTCTAAATGGCATAAATCTTTAAAGTTTTCATAACAAAGTTTAAAACGATGTATATTTATTATTGTAACCCAGCCATTCCACTTTCAGGCATTTCCTCTAAGAAAATAATTAAGCATGTGTGCAAATATTTAGCCACAAAGCTATTCAATATAGTATTATTTCCAAAAGGGAAAAATGGAGAACAAAATTGAATGACCAATGATGTGTGCCCGGTTAAATAAATCACAATAAATTGTGATTCTTCCATCCAGCTGTCCAGTGTTGACGAATTTTTATAGATGTAAAACCTATTCCCAAATATTCAGTGAAGTATACAATCTTGAAAACTATGCATAAAAATACTTGGAATGGAATTATCATAGGCTGTTCACTAACAATAATTTTCTCCAGGTAGTGACATGTTCAGTAAAAAGAAGAAAGAAAAGCTTTTTGCTTATCTGCTTTCTCTATCCCACAGTGTACCTGAGTGCTCTTAACGTATGAAAAAAATTTTAATGTATAGATGAATGAATAGGGAAATTGAGTAAAGGAAAAAAGAAAGCATTAAAGAAAAAAGATAAAAAAACAGCAATTAGGTTATCATAGAGATTTATCCTGCAAGATCCCTGTAAGAGGCAACGCTGGCCACAAATGAGCCCAACCCATGTGGCAGAACAAACACCCAGTCTGCAGACCCTCCACGAGATTTAAGTTTCCCCTGTTCAGTCTGGCAGGTGGCTCAGCAATGTAATTAGGGCTGCCATTCTCAATTACTCCACCATGAATGGAGTCTGTTATTAACAGCCAAGCTCACGTCTGATAATCAAGGGATGGCTGTGCCTCAGCATTTGACAGCTCACGGCAGAGAGATGGAAACAGTAATGTTTTCAGATTGATGCGTACATGTGACAGAGGCTGTACCAGGGTGAAGTTCTCTGTTTGACGGGAACTCGGAGAAATCTGAGCCATGATAAACACAAAGGGGTAAAAGGCCAAGAGAATCTGGACTGGAATAGTTTGTGCAGCCTCCTCTTGGTGTGGCTGTAAGAATGCCAGATGAGTAGCGGGAGCAGTGGCTCACACCAGTAATCCCAGCACTCTGGGAGGCCGAGGCAGGTGCATTGCTTGAACCTCAGGAGTTTCAGACCAGCCTAAGCAAGAGCAAGACCCCGTCTCTAAAAATAACCAGGTGGTGTGGTGGGCACCTATAGTCCTAGCTATTGGAGAGGCTGAGGCAAGAGCATCTGTTGAGCCCAAGAGTTTGAGGTTGCCAGGGCACTCAATCCCAGGACGACTGATAAATCAATAAACAAATATACCAGATGAATAGCTGGGGCAAAAGATGATGTTGAGTTCGCTGCCATGGACTCTACACTTACAACAGCCATCTGTACAACGGCTAAGAAACACTGCAACCCATACCCTTTCCCCCAAGTCTAATGTATCTTTCTAGTCTAAGCCTGCAAGTCCTGACCTCCTTGGGCACTGATGTGTTTCTGTGTTACCCAGCAGCTTCTTTGCACGGGCTCGGTCACTTGCATCAGAAGCACCTTGTCATGGCACAGGAAAAATTACTGAATGCCATTCCACCTGTGGCAGATGGGATCTTTAAGGAGGAGCACTAGGGAAGTGGATACGAGCCCAAGTTCATTTTCCAAAAGCCACAGGAATGCTGGGGCAAAGCCATGACTATTCTGAGATTATCACGGAGGGTCCTGCACAGCTGGGAAACAGCTCCAGCAGAATCCCACTGGAGCCCTATCAGGGGGCAGCTTAAAGGACAGATAGTTTGGAGTGCACCAGTTCAAGGATCCAATTTGAACTGTGTCCTACTCTCCCTGAAGTTGAGCACTCTGCTCTCTCATTTACTGGGCTCCTCAGGCATGACACAGAGCTTTGGCCCCACGTTGTGTGTGATGCGTGCGTGGAGGGAGGCTCTGGATCACCAAGCAGCACTGTTTCTTACACAAGTCAAATGGGCTGTTGCCTAAACCTTGCTTTTGTCAGGACCATGTTTTGGCAACTGTGGGTTTCCTACAGCTAAATCTTTCAGACCATTGACATTCAGCACCAAGGAGAACAGAACACTTACCTACTTAGAATTCCAGAACTCAATGCCAAAGAAACTATAGGAAAACTTATGTAGTATCCATTTCTCAGCTGTGAGGCATGATCATGTTAACCCTCCTGATGAGATGATAATACTCTCTGCCCCTTGAAAAAGTCCTATTTAACTGGTGTATCTACTCCAGGGCAACTTAAACAGGAGCTAATGAAATTACTCCACAGATGAATAAAATACTACCTTTGACCTCCGAGGAGTTTACAGTCCACTGAGGGATTATAGGCAGAAGCAAATAAAAACACCACGAAAGAATAAATGAAGGTGTGAGAGCCTGGGATGGTGCTGAACCAGGGCTGAGCTAGATATCCTACTTCAAGATATCCCACACCAGGCCCTGGCAGAATGGGGCTATCCTGCTAAGTGTGATCTCAGTGAGCTGCAGGATGTCACCAAGGGCAAGAACTTTCTTTCATCTTCCTGCAAAAGACTCAGTGGACTGGAAGCTTTCCTGGAGAGCACCTGGGTCTCTGCCATACCATGAAGAAGCTTGATTTATTTGGTTCTACTTTCTAAACGGTAATAACACACTGCAACATTACAAGCCTTTGGCAAGCCCTGACAGCCCTCACTGCACACACTCCTGCAAGACTGAGGGGTGGGTTGGCTAATCTGTAGGATGCTGCTTTGGAATGAAGATGTGTATCCCTCTAGGGAAGCCCAGAGCAGGAAAATGCCAGGTGCCCCTGAAAGACTGTGTGAGAGAGGATGAAATTACCTTGAGTTGTTACGTATTAAATTGTGGACTCTCTAGGAAGCATTCCAAATTCATAAATCCTGCAAATTTCCTTCTTTTTTTTTTTTTTTTGAGATAGAGTCTCACTTTGTCACCCTTATCCTTGTTAGAATGCCATGGCATCATAGCACACACCAATCTCTAACTCTTGGGCTCAAGCGATCCTCTTGCCGCCACAGTGTCCGGCTATTTTTAGAGATGGGGTCTCACTCTTGCTTGGGCTGGTCTTAAACTCCTGAGCTCAAGAAATCCGCTTTCTTGGGCCTCCCAGAGTGTAGGGATTATAGGTGTGAGCCACCATGCCCTGCCCAAATCCTGCAAATTTTTGTTGTGGTGAACTGTGATGAATACTAAATGCTGTCTCCTCACAATTTTTTAAG